CTTGCTACATGGCCGGAACAAGGCTTTAAATCTTTGCTCCCAATTTAACGGACAGAAGTACCAAAGGAATCTGCTATCCAGGGTACAGTTCCCACTCAACTTGAAGACCAACTCATTTGGAGGATACCATTAGCTTTTGTGCGATGTATGCCCAGTTCAGAAAGAATCTGTAATGCTACGAAGAGTCTTTTAAGAAAATCCTTATTTGCTGGTGCAGATGATAAGGACTTTCGTCGGACTTCTCTGAGCCCTCTTCTCAACAAGGTGTCACCTCGTTGGTTGGGTTTCTGTGTCCATCCTTTGCAGAGTCCAGTTTTAGCAAGAATCTTCCTAAGCCAGTTTAGAGAGAATTCACCATCCTGTATCTGATCACCCTGGCCAACGGTGCCTTCAGCAATAATTTCATTATATGGTTTAGCAAGAATCCCACTACCTCCAATGTCTCCTCTTAGTCATTTTCTGTACTCCGTCACCTCCCCCCAGCTGGCTCCTTGACTATAAATCTCTACTTTCTCTCGTCATATTTGGATTTGAGCCGGATCTCTTGACCTTATTGTGATAGTCTTGGCCTCTATCACAAAAGTCCTGTAAAGTCTTCTTAACATTCTAACAAGTGTCAGAATAATTTTTTCTTTAACGCAGATCAAAGCTTAAATATTGAGGTTTTCAAAAGAGGGTGGCTCATATTAAGCACCACGTAAGTTCTGAGTGCCAAATCTGTTCCTCACAACAACACAATGAGGCAGTGCTATTATTACCCTAAATTTATAGATTAAACTGGAGACCCAAGAGGTTAGTTTTCTTGCTGAAGTACACAGAGCTAGAGTAGGTAGTGGAACTGATATTCTAAACCAGGAGTCCTCAAACTATGGCCCACGGGCTACATGCGGGCCACCTAGCACATTTATCCAGCCCTCCGGGTGTTTTTGCCACCGCTGCCTGTCCTGCTTAGCAGCCGACTCGTCCCAGGCCCACAGTGCGCACTCTCTAACGGTCTGAGGGACAGTGAACTAGCCCCCTAAAAAGTTTGAGGACCCCTATAGCTAATCCAAAGAGTCGGCCCCGGAGTCTATGTTCTTTAATACATCAGACTGCCCTCAGAGGACTGAAAATTAGGCTGGGGAGTCTACTCTGTCAGCACTCTTACAACATGGTCCTCAAACTCAATTGCACTTAGCACCTCAAGTTAAGTAACCTTAGGGAGTGAAGCAGGGCAGGGCACATGGGAAGTGGGCCAGGGAGGGTCCATGCCTGGGAAGTGGGAAGCCCTTCTCAGCGCCACCTAGTGTTGCCATCTGGAAATGCAACCCATCTGATTTTTACCCAGAAGTGAGGGAGAAATCTATTAAATAGATTTTTATGAAAGATCTCTTTAGTTAAGAACAGAAATAAGGAAAAGACAGAGAAGGGAAGGGGAGGGAAGGGAGGGGAGGGGAGGGGAGGGAAGGGAAGGGAAGGGAAGGGAAGGGAAGGGAAGGGAAGGGAAGGGAAGGGAAGGAAAGGGGGAAAGGGAAGGGAAGGAAAGGAGAGAAGAAAGGGAAGGAAAAATCATGCAGGACACACATATAGACACATACACACCCCTCTACAGAAGGGATCCATTCAGTCTCAGGCTACCTGTTTGCAACCTTATTTTTGGAAGGTATTAAATTTGATCATAATGGACTCTGACTGATGATAAAGAATATACTCCTCACTCTAAACCACCAAGTAATTATAATACACTTTTAAAATGCCCTAGTGGTCTGACCTGTTGGAGACTCTAGATTTCTGCCATTAGGTAAGGCAAGGGAGGGGAGAATGTGGGGTGAGTCTCTTCTAGGCTCATGGAACTGCTGCAACAATTCCATTAGTAGATAGGTTTGAGAGTAGTGTTGATTTCTTACCTACTAATAAATCAAGAGATTTCCAGTTATAGGTGTTAAGCCATGAAGTTTGGGCTTTTCTTCTTGATTCTTGAATTGATGGATAATTTAACCTGTATTAACAAAGTAGAGGAAAGAAAACACCCTTTTCAAAGCTAAACCAACACAATCAGCTGTGTGGGGGAAATGGAAGTGAACGTAATGACAACTGAGAGTTTTATGAAATCATCTTCATCTAAGTCTTTTAACTTTCAGTTGCTGAACTTTGAGTTGTTTATATTTTACAATCTGTCTTTGGCAAACTAGGTTTCTTGGCACCAGCCTTACAGCATGGAGGAACTTTATACTCCTGGCTTTATGAGACCTTCTAGCTTTTCCTAGCAGGTGTCCAGTGTTCTTGGTTTTAATTGTCTAAACCTGGATTACAGATACATAAAGTTTTATAAATAAGATATTGCCATTTTCTTCTAAAAATCACACTCTTTTTAATTGCTTTCATTAATATTTCCTGCCATGGATTCAAATTCCCTGTAAGTTTGAAGTTGGGCAGAGCTTTAATAATGGCCGTTTTGGAAGAAAACAGGATCAATTAACAATTTTTTATGCACAGGATCCTGCACTGTGTCCTGTGGAATTAATAGGAAAGAATCAATAAGTTTCTCCCTTTTCCTCCGGGGGCTTGAGGTATTTTTGGAGAAATGAGGCATTTATGCAATCACAATGGTACAAAAACAACGCATGAAAAAAAGCAAAATACGAAGGACACAGATGAGCAACCTGTAGAAGTTTTAAAACACAGAGAGATTTTATATGACTTGAAGGCTTTAGAAGGCTTCAGAAAGGAAGTGGGATTTAAGTGGGTCCTTGAAGAACAGGTAGGATTTTGAGAATGAGGAGGGCAAACAGTGAAAGGAAAGATATAATGAACACAGGCACAAAAGAGGGGAAGGGAAAGGCTGGCTTGGGCAAAGCAAGTGATTTTGCAACAGAAAACTCAGTAAGGAAGCAATGGAACATAAACCTGGAGAGAAGTTGCTTGAATGAGCAGAAAGCCATCAAGACCATGGATGGGAAAATATTCAACCCATTCCTTTGAATAATGAAGTTAGAAGAGTTGGCTGAGAGGAGAAAATAAGTTCCATTTAGGGTTAGATGTTGTGTGATAGTAGGTCAGCCAAAAGATTAAAAAAATGTATTTTCAAAATCTGATTCCAACCAGATATGATTTTGCCTTCTTTTGACATTTTGGAGCCAAGGTTAAGATTGTGCTCTTTGATGTTTTTATTCATCGTATGCAAAGAAGTAGGATCCTTGAGTTTTGGAGCTGGAAGTGTTCTTAGAAATCATACAAGTCATTTTGCCAATGAGTTAATGTGGAGTCATGAACACAGCCTATGCGTGATAAATATTAAAACACAAATCATCTACTAATGTCTATTCCTTAGCTTTATTCACATGACTAGTGTCTAGTTATCCTTTCCAAAAGTGATATAATTTTATATAAGTATATTCCCTAAATCATATCAGATATATTTCTTAAAATTCAGCATTTTCCCACCTTTGGGTCCCTCCATCTCCCCTCCTTGTCCCCAGCTCATTGCTCTCCCTCTGTTTAACACCCAATGTGTCCTATTCTAAATATTTGTACAAAAATGAAAATGTACACACTCTTTTCTATATCTTGATTTTCTCATTCCACCATACCTTAGGGAAATCCCTGCCATGGGAAAAATTACAGGCTAACTAGTTATTTACTGTAATGATTGCATAATACTCTATAGTAGAGCTATGTCATGATTTATTCTACCATTTCCCCTTATTCATGGGGACCACTCTGTTTCCAGTTTTTGACTCTATAAATAGTACTTCAATAAACATAATTGTATCTGTATTCACATATGCTGGGGTTTTTATTTTTATTGGTAGAGTTGGTATCACCGGGTCAAGGACGTGTGTATTTTTAGTTCTAAAAACTAAACTGCTTCCCTAGGAAAGCTGTAAAAATAAACATTTGTGCCTACAATTAATAAAAAAAAATACTTTCTTTTCCTAGGTCTCCCCAGGCTGTCGTGTTAAACTAAAAGTCTTTTATTTTTTTTTAATTTTTGCAACTGCAATTTGTGTGAAGAAAAATCTCATTGTTACTTTATTTGCATGTATTTGACTCCAATGAATTTAATCACTGTGTCATAAACTTGTTGGTTATTTGGATTTCCTATCTTGCAAACTGCACTTTCATATTCTTTATACATTTTTCCAATGGATTATTTGGTCTCCTTATAAATTTTTAAGAGCTCCTGTCATATTATAGATATTTTTCCCTGCCTTTTGGGGAAGTTGCAACTTTTTTTTGCATTTTTTATATTGCATTTTTATGGTATCTTTGGTTATGCAAAAGTTTTGAATTTTATTTAGTCACCTATGTTTATGTTTTCTCTTATAGCATCTACCTCGTCAAAAGAAGCCTAAGTCTCCTAGATTACATTTATGATTCCTAGATTTTCTTACAGGATTTTTATTTATTAAATATTTAATGATTCGTTTTACATTTTAACCTTTAATCCATCTAAATCCACCCAAGATTTATTTTTGGAATTGGTATAAGAAGAAGATCTAGTTTTCTTTTCTTCCAGATGAATAAACGGTTTACCAACCCCTACATTAAATAACCCATCCTTTTGCTGCCAAATTGAAATGCTTCTTTTGTCATATATTAAGTCCCCATTTATATTTGGATCTATTTCTAGATATCTTATGTCACACATCTGGTTAGGAGTTTTTCAGTACTTATTGATTCGATGGTAGTAGCTTTACAGGATTTTCTGATATCTGGCAAATCAGATTACACAAATAACTTTTGAGGTGGTTATCAAACTTAAGCGTATACATTAAATACCTATTTGCCAGGCAACAGTGGGAGACAACCAGAAACTGATATCTCAAAATAATATTTGTGTAATTAGAATATTTTTTTTTCAAAATGTTTCTTCTCAAGGTCTACTTTTATAGCAACGGATGAGGGAAGGGAAGGTTTGCTGTGCTCATGAGATCTTATAAAAAATGACAATTTGCTCTATTTTTTTTCAATCCTTAAATGACTTGCGGTATTAATGGTCCTGTTTCCTTGATTGGCAGGCTGGATCTTCAGAAGAACCGTCCCTGACTGGGTGTGACTCTGAGGTCCTGGGGAGAGCTCCGGAGTGTCCCTGAAGACAAAGTCCATGGGGACGGTACCTGACCCTCTGAGGGCGGCTAAAACGTCTCTGATCGCAGCTTCTGGGAACGAAGGGGATCTGGGAGGGCTGCGGACGGCCGCACCCCCGCACCGCCCAGCTGTCCTGTGCCCGAACGCCAATGGCTTCTCGGGCGCCCCTGCAGAAGCGGACCTCGGCCCCCGGGCAGCCACCGAGCCCCTGATGCAGGGCCCCGAGCATGACAGCCCCCGGCGGGACATGCCCTCCCCGGGTGTCTTCAATGAAGTGGGGAAAGCATCTCCTGCGCTCAACTGTCCTGCCAGTCCCCAGCCGCCAGCCCCAAGTCCCGCAGCTGGGGAGGATCTCGCCCGCGCGCCGTCCCCAATGCCAACCACTCAGCGCGCCCACCAGCCCGTCCCCGGTGCCCAGTGCAGCGCCAGCCCCTCGTCGGTGCCTGCAGATTCCCCGGTGGCATCACAGAGGACCTCAAAGGAGGAGCCATCGGAGAAGCCAAGCTGCCCCGCAGGAGCCACCTGCGGTAGCAGCAAAGATCCCGTGTCCTGGGAGTTTCCTTCTGGAAAAATAGCCCAGGCTGCAAACGCTGCAGCTAAGGTGCCCGGTTCAGTGCGCTCTCCCGGAAGGGGACCTGAAGGGGAGGGGCAGGGGGCCACCTGTGACTCCGAGACCAGGTCCTGTGACCCTCCAGCTGGAGAGGATGGATGTTCAGAGGACAAGCGGCCCACTGTCCCTGCCTCTGACCCCCCAGGCGTAACTCCTGTGCCCCCTCCACCACCCGCCGTCGCTAAGGAAGGTTCGGCGCATCCTTCAGATGCAGAGAAGGGGCTGCAGCCGGGGCAGCAGCAGAGGGCAAGGTTCAGAGAAGCCAGCACGATGACGCACCACGCTGAGAGTGACACCGGGGCAGGTGCCGGCAGGGCTCGGCAGGACGTGGAGGTGCAGGCAGTGGCGAGCGTCGAGAGCAGATCGGTCTCCACCAGCCCCAGCATCCTCGCTGCGTTCCTAAAGGAGAGCCCTGCCCCGGGGCGCCTGGAGCAAGAGCACCTGTGTGTCGTCTGCCGCGGTGGCGGCGGTGGCGGCCACACGTTAGAGCTCTCTGCCAGCCCGCCGGGCCCCCCGGAGCCGGGCCGGTGCCTTGGTCTCATGCCACAGGTGCGCATCCAGACGGCTGCAGCTGTCTCCGCCGCAGCGTGCCGCGGGGAAAGCGACCCAGGGGAGCCACCAGGTGAGGCCCCTAAAACCTCATCCACCCGCGTGGCCTCCGGGAATCCCGGGGAGACGTGCAAGGAAGATGGGGGGTCGGCAGGAATGACTCCAGGGAGGGGAGACCCCGGCGCTCACCAGCTCTCGGGGACTCACGCCAGCTCCCTGAAAGCCGGCCCCGTTGGTGACACTTGCATCAGCGCGGGCGGTCAGGCCGCGACAAGTCACGCAATGGGAAAACGGGACGCCGAGCCGCCCGAGCCTGCGGCGCAAACCGCACGCGGCCCCAACGCAGCCGGGGACTGCACACCGCCCGACGCCTGCGGCCCTGCGCAGAGCGGGGGCTTGGACCCCACCTGCAAAGGGGGCGCCGGGGACGGCCAGCCCGCGTCCGCTCAGGCAGTCAGGGGACAAGAAGAGGCTGCTGGCACCCACGCCCCGGACGCCAAGAGCGCACTGCGGCTCGACCCGCAGTCCCGGGACGCCGGAGGGGCAGGCCCGGGCGCGAGCCCCACGCCCTCCCCGGCGAGGAAGGGCGCGCCGGAGGACGACGGCCAGCCCCGCGCGGCCGCCAGCCTGGGCCTGCCCCCCGACGGCCCGGGCGACGCCAGCCCGGGCTCCGGCAAGAGGACGCCGGCGCGCGCGGTCAGGGCCAGCCCGCGCAGGGCCAGCCGCGTCAGCGACTTCCTCAGGGAGCAGAGGCTGAGCGTGGCGGCGGCCGCCGCGCAGGTGGGGCTGGCGCCCGGGGAGCGCAGGAAGCCGCCGGGCGCCGAGGCCAGGCTGCAGCCGAAGCAGTCCAAGCGCGTCAAGGACGTGGTGTGGGACGAGCAGGGCATGACCTGGGAGGTGTACGGCGCGTCCCTGGACCCCGAGTCCCTGGGCGTCGCCATCCAGAACCACCTGCAGAGGCAGATCCGGGAACACGAGAAGCTGATCAGGACCCAAAGCGGCCAGAGCCGGAGGTCCGTCTCCTCGGACGCGTCTTCGCACAAGAAGCTCAAAGGCAGGCAGCACCGGGTCTTCCAGTCGGTGCTGCAGAACTTCCGGCGCCCCACCTGCTGCGTGCGGCCCGCCCCGTCCTCCGTGTTGGACTGACAGGCCACCTGCCGGCGGGGGAGTAGTCCCCGTCTACACTCGCGGTATGCGTGCGCCTCTCCACCTTTGTCAAGGCTGACTTGGTGGTTTTTCTGTGAGACCAGGAAGGAAAATGCAAGTATTATAAAACTACAGGAAATTGCTATTCAAAAAAAAAAAATAATAATAATAATAAAAAAGTTAGGTCCTTTGACTGGAGCTCTATAAATAAAAAAGTGTCATTTCAATTTGAAAGACAGAACAGGAGAAGAGAGGCAAGCTGCACGAAAGGTTTGCAACCTTCCTTAAGTTGGAAATGATATGCACTGGGTTTTTCTTTTTTAAAATATATAAATATGGTGTTGCTCATGGAAATAGCATTATCATTATACGCGTGTCATTTTGTATTACTGCCTCAATTTATTATACAATGGTGTTTCCATTAAAACCCCTGCTTTATATTAAAAGTAGCAAAAACACTATCAGCAAAAATGCTGTTATAATTTCTAGTCCTATTGCAATAAGAATGCTGTTATCACACAAAATTTAAGTACGTGGTGGTAAGAACCAGAATGTAAAAATAAATTGAAGCAAAACTGACTCATTCGTAGGCCAGATAACATGAAATAAAAGCACTTAAATGTATAAAATACCTAATATGAATTAATATTTGTAAACATCTTCAGATAACCCTTTTTTATAAACCTCGTTATAGCTGTTAATACATGCAAGAAAGTTATATTAGGAAAATTGGCTAAGCTTTTGAATATGAATACTGCCTACATCAAAAATAGATTTATTTGTACATACACATTGTCTTGTACTGAAGGCAAGGTGTATCTCTATGATTTTAACCAGACGTAATTTATATTTTCTTCCCCTAGAGGAAATACATGAGACTGAATTCTTAAAAAGAATCACCAAATTAGGGATAATACTAAAGTTTATGTTGTGTAATTGTTGTCCACTAATATTCTACTGAGAATGCCAGTGTTCTGGTAAGGAATTATTAATAGGAGATTACCAAATACAGTGTTTTTTTTCTGTATTGATAAAAGGAAAGCCTCCCGATTCACAAAAACAATGTTTCATTTAGGCTCCTGTAAACAGGATGCAATTTTGTGTTTTTCCTTCAGTTTGGTCCAGCAGCTTCTAATAGCAAATATAGTCAACACCAACTAGAACACTAGCTCCCTTACAGTTTTTCTGTGTAGACTAATATCAGCTAATTGCTTAAGTTTATAATGTGGAATAAAAAGGTGACTTCTGCAAACTTATTGATTTTTTTCTAAGAGAAATGCCATCATAGCTCACCCTTGACACTGAACGAAAGAAGAGGCCTTTACAAAAACATGGCTTGAGCTTTGGGTGGGTTGTGTTCTTCTTCGAGAGCACAGCCACCTGTCTGAGCTCAGCCGTCACTTACCTCCAGAAGAGCATGTCCCCAAGAACACATGAGTGTCATCCAAGGCACTAGCCTGAGATGAGCAGCAGTGGCTTTGAGTCTTGGGGCAGGGTGCAAAGGGGCAACAAGCTAGGGCCTTGGAAAAGCTTCCTGGATTCACTAAATCTCCACCTTGCATTTAGGAAACCAGACTGTTGGCTATTGGAGAGAAGTTCTGGTTACCTTCTCTGAACTCATTTCCCCCGATGAGCCACCAAAGACTGTCTGACCACGGGTTCTCTCTCCAGAGACTCCTGCATCCCATCTGTACATTCAATTCACAATCTCTGGGTTTTGGCTGTTTCCATTTTAATTCCATTTTGCAGATTCCGAACATGTTGCGGGGGGAGAGGGGTGTGAGAATCCTACCTGAACTTTAATACCACACTAATTGGACACAACCTCAATTAGTAAAAAGGCTTTGATTTCCTTCCCAGCAATCGGACCGTAGATGAAGTCTGCTTAAGTGGATTCGCAGCATTCTCAGAACCTGAGAATGGTAATTCCAGTTGTTATACTTGCAACTTGGGAATTTTGTAATAAGACACACTTTTCTTTTATTTTATTTTTTATTTCATTTTTTTGTGGGTTGTGTTTTTTTTTTATTTATTTCTTACCAATTGGCCTCTATTAAAAATGCGATCTAAAGTCAAAAATGACCATCAAGCTACCAACCAAATTCCTATCGATGATTAGAAATTTAGTCTAAAACTCTCCCTCTTGGCCTTAAATACCCATTTGTAGTTTGCACTTATCTCACTTCGGTCTCAGACACCTTTGCCAGGACGTAATCTCTCTCTGAGATCTCACTCGCTGGCCGTCTACCTGGCACATTGGGATGCCTGCTGTGTAGACACGGAGTACACCCTGTGTACACGGCAGCAGCTGTCGGCTGTGCTCACTCCAGACGGGTTGGGCCCCAGGTAATCCTCTACTGAGGAGTAACTAGAACAGGCTGTCCCTGCATTAAAATAGGAGAAGAAAGAATTCAGCATCCGGCAATCATATTTATTTTCATGAGTCGGGAGTAAGCACATGATTTATAAATAGTTAAACGAAGCAGAGGCCCAAGAGAGTTGTAGGCATGTGTTCCACATTAAATAAATGAAAGCTTGTTAAATTTAGCTTTGTAGCGTGCCTCTTAAAATTCAATTTTCTCTTCGAATTAAAACTTTAAGAGAAAAATGTTCGATGTAGCAAGTTTAACTGGTTATTCTTTGGTGCTAGAACTAAATTCTTCACTTCTACGACACTCTAGAAATTGTCACAAACTATGACAAGACCTTGCTTGTTTTGTTGCTTATTCAACAGTTGAGAACTAACAGCTTTCAGAAGCAGTAACAGAAATATATCATCAAATGGATAAATAAGATAGGAACCTATTCAAGGTAGCAGTGTTTTGCATTATGATACCAATTCTAAGTTACTCCCACAATAGAAGCTTATTTGAAAATAAGCTTCTTTTCCTTCCTTATTTGAAAATTTCACTTTAATCTGTGACATGGCTTCAGACATTTGGTACTACATTATATGTGACACCTTAGGTTCATTCAACAGATGAAACTTCAAAAATAATTTTCCTGCCACACACTTGGAACTTGCTTAGTTATTCCCTCCTTGATCTCCATGAACATGCACTGGGTTGAAAGTTGTTTGGTTTTTGTCCTTCATTTCTTTTAGATATGATTAGGTCCTTTTCATGCATTTTAGTTTTGGGAATATGCAGAGGAAATATTTCATTGCATCAATAATAGAAAACACTGCTGAAACCAGTAGTAAAAGAGGTGAGGTAGAACTCCGTGTCTTGAACAGGTAATTCAACATCAAAAGTGTTAAGATGCTCTACTGTTTACCAAGTGAACACTATAACTTTTCATTTGAATATTGATTGTTCTATTCTTATGACCACAAGAAAAATGTCACACCTTCAACTGTCATGTGTTTGTCTTGAGTGCTTTCCTAATTATGTCTTTCTAGATGATTGGCATTTGATGCCACAGACCAACTACTTTACATACAGGAAAATCCTGATTCACCTTTTTGTTCTGGGTCAGTGGTGTAAGTTGAACACTTTGTTAAAAGTCAAGGTTAACTCAGAAACCTTTTTGTTTGCATCTGAAATGAAATAGTTATAAAATGTATTGGTATGATTTCCTACCTTGACAAGTTTAGCTCTCGTAAATGTGATTTCATCTTTGATAATTTTTTTAGTCTTGAGAATTCTCTGATATTAGTTTGCGTACCAGTGTTCCCCATGTTGTAGATTAAACATCAAAATTGAAATAAATTGGACTGAATGTGCATGGGTAACACATACCCTAGAATTTGGATTTTGGAACCAAATACTTAATAGGAGCTCACCATCTTATAGTAGAAACCAGAAGAAGAATGTTTATCAGTGTATTCAAGTTTCACTGTTTCTAGTTTATACTAATGTTATTCCTCTGATTTCTATGGACCCCTGTCATTCTGGGAATACCTGTATTTACCACACCAAGAATAGAAGGACAATGAGACTCTCAAATCTGTTTACAGAGGATATGTACAAGTGTGCCGTTAATGTAAACTGTTTGGCCTTTGCTGTATCCACTTTGTCACTGTTTTGCTGCCCAAAATGAGAAAAATTACTGTCTTCTCTTCCTCCTACCTATTTTGCCAAGTGTTAAAAAAATTTATCTACTTCTAGTACCACTGTAATGCACCACATTCCTTGTCTCCTTTTTAAGAATCAGTATAAAAAAAAAAAACCACACAGTATATTAGGATAAGGTTTGCATATGTGTATATGTGTTTTTATCGAAAACGGGGCACTCGTAGCCTTGTGTAGATCTCTACCCACCTGATTTACTACTTGTCTATAATGCTGCCATGGAGATGAAGCTGTTTACTCTCCCCTGCTTTGTCCTGAGTGGTGTTTGGGAAATGAGGCCTGTGAATTTCCCTTTGTGATAGTACAGTGAACTCAGCAGTCTCTTGGATAAGTGAGCTCACCACCTTGTCTCCACCCCTGTTTCGTCTACACAGTGAATCAGACGTCAAATGACCCCTTCAGTGTTTGCTATTTGACATTGCTATCTAGCGTTTTGTTTCTGTTAGCAATGCCCCTTGATGTCCTAAGTGGCCCTTTGGGTGACTCTCTCCCACTGTGGGTCAGCCGCTGTCACCTGGCCAATGGCAGGCAATATGCGAGATCTCCTGCCCACCCCTGTGACTTGATCCTTCTTAATGAAATTCTGCAACTGGCTGAATAATTATAGACACATGGGATGTCTACAAAATTGTAGACATTTTTGCAAAAGGGGAAAATATAGTCTTGTAAATACTGACTCAGATTTCCACGAACTTTATCCTACTCTTGGAAAAAAAAAAAAATTCTCCTTGGCTGCAGAATCGAGTAAGATCGGTTTGCAATACCAAGGACATACATGAAGACAGATTGAGGTGGAAAAATTCTGTCTCACCAGTAAAAAACAGTGACATCTGCCAGAGGTCATTACAGCTACTTTTAACTGTGAACACTCACCAGCTAAACTACTCACTTGCCACAACCAAATAACCTCTCTCAAAGTAAATCCAATACATCTGTAAATACGTGTAGATAGAAAAAAAAAAAAATTTCTGAAACATTACTTTTAGCTGTTAGGTAAATCAAGGTGATGATTAAGTATAAAATGTCTGTAGGGGCCAGAATGGTGCAACAAGATGTTACTTACAAGTTTTTATTTTAAGACTCAGATATC